ATATGAAAGTGTCCCTTTCCCCTCCCACTTCCCTCACGCTGTCAATGAGGATGTCGTAGTTCTCCCCTCCCCCCTCCCTCCCTAAAATGGTTATCACAGAACGTTACTGAGTTATATTCAGCCAGCAAGCTACTGTGTTGTGAATGCTTATCCAGGAAGAACAAGGTCCTATCCCAACTATGCTAAGCATGGAGAGGATTAACCTTTATCTTGTACAATGTATTAACGCCATTTAGAATATCTAATTGACTAATCCTAGCATCGGCATAGTTTTTGTAAACAACAACAACAACAGTAGTGAGTCATTTCCCAATATAGACACTTATATCAGACATCCCTCACCACTCCACTGGCTGTGTTTCACAGCAACAACAAAACGCGAGCGCAAGCAAGTGGTCATAACTTGATCCAATCCAATTTAACCATATTTTGACACCAAATGACGTCTCATTAATGAATGAAACTTTGTGTAGCATAAAACAATATAATTTTGAATTATTTTCATATAATACTATTGTATTACACTACTTAGGACGTTGTCTTTTTAAAGTGGTATCCCGAAGTGGAATGTGTAGGCCTATAGTTAATTATATTTGGAGTAACAGAGCACAATGCAGACTTATACACTTTTCCTTCGTTATTATTCCTACCACCAGCCATTTGGAAGAGGATATTGAAAAACGCATATATTTTTTCCCCTTTATTTAGTAGCCTGCAGTCTTGATCTCATGTTCCTGGCATAGTTCCGAACAAGGTCCTTGTGGACCATCAGCTCCACCGCTCGCCTCTCCCTTGCTGGCTCCCAGGTGTTCACAATTCAACCCCAAACATTTTCGATCGGGTTCACATGTCCCCCTTTGCTAAGCCAGTCCAACAGGTGGAGGGTCTCCTGTGCGAGGAACCACTGCTGAACCAGCATTGCAGTGTGGACGAGGTAGCAATCCTGGACAAATTTTATGGGGCCGGGATGGAAGGGAAAATTCCTCTAGTGGAGAGAGTGGAGGAAAATATCATAAAGGATGTTTACGTGTTTCGGCACTAAGCTGTCCCTGAATTTCGTGAATCCCCAACGCCATGGAGAGTCATCCACCCTCACTCGGCCACTCCGTTGTTGTTCATAGATATTGCGCCGCCCATATCTCCGTAAAATAATGTTGATTGTGGACCTTATCACTTTGCTATAAAGGCTATATTCTTAAATTTCATGTCCAATTATGATTTATTTCCTGCAATATATACGGGATTTCATAAAGTAATTTGATATATACAGTATACTAAAGATTGTATACAGTATACTAAAGATTGTATACAGTATACTAAAGATTGTATACAGTATACTAAAGATTGTATACAGTATACTAAAGATTGTATACAGTATACTAAAGATTGCAAATGAGACAAAAAGTGTGAAAATGCAATACGAACATGTGAGAAAAAGAATAAAAAATTAAAGACACAAATATGATCATGAGAGAAAGTGTGAGAATGAGAGAAAGGTGTGAGAAAGACAACATTTTGAGAAAGATACATAACAAGGAAAATTAGAGACAAAGGCATAACATGACAAGAGAAGAGAGAGATGCGTGTCTCACAAGTCCTTTGAGCCTTGCCTGCGTGACCCAGTATATTGCCAAGGGCGGTGGTAGGTCAGAGAGAGAGAGAGTCTTAACGACACATAACAATTACCACACACACACACACACACACACACACACTATTACTACTACTACTACTATAGTCGTTGGGTTCCGCCTATACCACCGTTCGGGATCTTACTGGAGCTCTGGAAGTATGTCTGCTTGGTGCAGGGTTCCACGCAGATATTTTGTATGGGGTTTACTCCCATAGCCTATGTGCCGTCCCTCCTGGGCTCACTGCTACTCCGTGATCCCTTGCTGGTCTCGCCTGGGCCCACGAGGCACCCAGTTACCGTGTGTTGTCACGAGGAGGCACAGCAGGAGTCTTGATGGTGAAGAGGCTGTGTACGGGCTGGGGAAGACTTATGCAAGTTGCTTCCCTGTTCACCACGAGGGCTAGCCAGCGGCGGTAACTGAAAGCGAGCGGAAGCAAGCAGTGCTTGCACCTTAATACTAACATAATGCTGCCACACTAGACGCATTACACCACCCTGTGCACACACACACACACACACACACACACACACACACGCACACACACTACCCCTGATGATTCAATAACCCTAAATCCACTTCTCTTGACTTGCAACCATTGACTTGCGAACACCAAGCCGACAGTCACCATTTACCCCCTGAGACTAGAGTGTGGTCAGAATTGAGATTTTCCCCACTGAGCGCTGCGAGCCGTGATGTCTGCGGCTACTGATCACTCGGGTCACACAAACACCATGAAACAAACAAAGAATGGATTTGTCTTTGTTATTGGAATCAACAGGTTGTGTGGTTATAGCTGGGAAGCGTGGGATTAAAGTGGAATAGACAGAAAGGTTCACAAAACAATGGAGATTTGCGGATCACCGGATTAGAGGAGTATTTAAATATGAAGTTTATGTAAATAATTGACTAGAATATCCTCCATGTTGGACTACAGCTGTGTTAGGTTTATAGTTTGTCAGTTTGGACTACTAATATTAAGCAATTAATCCATATGTCCGAATTTGTGTTCTTTAATTGATTTTCCACGTTAATTAAATAAATTGAAATTAATATAAACATTTATCATTTTTTATATCACAAATATCTATCGTCCAGGTGAAGAATTTTTCTCCTAGGTCTGGCCTCTTATAGGTTAACAATGATTTATTTTCACCTGATAACAGAAGAACTTATATTATCACGGTAGTACCTCAAAGGGATTTCAAGACAATGTTGTTCTTATATGTGTGTCGTAACATTTAGTGAATTATTGATGTGTTCCGACATCGCCAGCTTAGATACATTACCTCATCTCTAATCACAGGCTGGAGATTAACGTAGGAATCTTTGTGAAGTCATCTTAGTGTCGTAAGTCAGCTCGGTATGGTCATGCATATATAATTAAGGGATGAAATTTTGCCCATTTCCTGTATTAACCTATCAATGTGTCGTAGCTTAAGTGTAACAGACGTGTTCTAACATATCCAGTTAGTTAGCAACAGTATTTACTGTAACAATCTTTCATTGTTCCGAGCACCTAACAGCTGAGAGAACGCCGGCTGGAGGACTACAATTAATTATAAAAAACAGCAGCGTTTGTATCCTGGAGAAGCTTATGTCGGTCGCTTTCGTACATGAAAGGTGAAAGTGCGTGCTAATGGCTTGGCCATCCGTTAGAGACAGTATACTAAATGTTCTATCATCTTCACTATTCCAACAGCGTGGTTAGGTACTTTACCCATTTATAGTTGGGTGGACTGCGTGGGTGCCGAGGGCTTGAGCCAGTGACCCATATGACAGGGGGCGAACGCCGCTTTATTCACTGGGCCGCCTCACCTCCTGCTTCCTGAATCATGTGTAGCGTCCACTAGCCATCAACACAGATGGTATGCCTACCAATTATTTACCTAGCTTGAATTTATAGTATTCATTAAAAGGAAACCGATTTTCTCCCATCATTATATCATACTTGGATAATTTTTTAATCGTCATATCACGCACACATGTATCTGCTGGTCGTGGTCACTTATCACGGCGACGATTCGAACACAAATTGACGTCATACCGTGTTCAGTGTGTGTTGGCAGATTAGAAATTAACAGTGTGCCGGTACAATACTCTTTCTGTTTGTTTACTCTATATCTAGGGTTTATATCTAATATAAAAAGACAGTGATATGCAAAATTTGAATTATTTGTTTGGTGTGCGTATTATACGTTTAAATAACTCACAACAGTTCGTATATTCAAAATGTATTGGTCATATCCTCATGGGGCACCTCTTTCTCTGAGAGCATAACCCACCATGAGCATAAAAAGTTCTGATTGGTTACGAAATGTGGCATATGTCTATAGGGTACAACTAGGCATGCACAAATGAGGCAATTTATGCATTTGGTAAACCATAGCCTTTTGAGGACCCACACCTACCCTTGTGCTGTAGTTTAATGACCCACTTAGATCCGATCTTTAGGGAAAATTCAACTTTTCAGAATCCATCTTTGTTTCACAGTTTATATGAATCAGTTAAATGTGTTTCATATTAGTCAGAGGAATAATTTAGAGGAATAATTTAACGTACGGGTCTTAGAGCGTCGGGGTCGTGACCAGCGGCACACAGGGACGAATGTGCGTGTGTGTGTGTGTGTGTGCATTGTATAAGTGTTTTTGATAAGGCGGGGATATATTGCCTGGGTCGGTGCTCAATATTGAAAGGTCCTGAAGCAAGAGTTATGAAGCCTTGACAGAGACTGCCAGTGACAAATTTGGTGCCACTGTGTATATGACAGGGTGTGCCAGGATGTATTGGAGTAGTTGTTGACAGGGTGGTGGTAGGGTGAGTTGGAGGATGGTGGTTGTTGACAAGGGGTGGTAGGGTGAGTTGAATGGTGGTTGTTGACAGGGTGGTGGTAGGGTGGGTTAATAATAATAATAATAATAATAATAATAATAATAATAATAACGAAAGAAATTGGAACCGAGAAAAAACTAGTGGTAAATATACAAGAAAAAGAAGAATTAAGGAGGAGAAAGAATGAAGAGGACGGCAAGATGAAGAGAGGAATAGAGACGAAAGAGACGCAAATAATTAGGGGATGAAGGAAAATGGTGAGTCGACAGAATAACGGAAAAACGTAAGAGCCGACAAAGGGGAGGAGGGGGAAGAGGCGATAAAGGAGGAGGAGGAGGAAAAAGAGGAGGAGGAAGGAGAAAGAGGGAGAGGTGTACAGAAAGGAGAATTAGAAGGAAGAGGAGAGAAAGACGGAGAGGAAGAGGAGAAAGAGAGATAAGTATCATTCTTACATAGAGAAAGTTTCGAGGTATTGGATTTAAGAGTTTACAGCCGGCCAATGCTATTATATCGCTGGCCTGACCTTAAGTGAGACAAATGGCTGATGTTGACCCAAGAGCCATCTCTTCCCCTGGACCCACCCCCCATGGACCACCTACTATGGACCACCTTCCAGGGACCACCTCTCATGGACCACCTCCTATTGACCACCTCCTATTGACCACCTTCCAGGGACCACCTCTCATGGACCACCCCCCCTGGACCACCATCACCACCACTACCACTGGATCACCCACCTTGGACCACCACCTATGGACCACCTTCCAGGGACCACCTCTCATGGACCACCTCCCCTGGACGACCATCACCACCACTACCACTGGATCACCCACCTTGACCACCCTCCTATGGACCACCCTCCAGGGACCACCTCTCATGACCACCTCCTATTGACCACCTCCTGCTGACCACCTTCCAGGGACCACCTCTCATGGACCACCCCCCTGACCACTCATCACCACCACTACCACTGGATCACCCACCTGACCACCACCTATGGACCACCTTCCAGGGACCACCTCTCATGGACCACCTCCTGACGACCATCACCACCACTACCACTGATCACCCACCTTGGACCACCACCTATGGACCACCAGGACCACCTCATGGACCACCTCCTGGACGACCATCACCACTCACCACTACCACTGGATCACCCCACCTTGACCACCTCCTATTGACCACCTTCAGGACCACCTCATACCACCCCCCTGACCACCACCTATGGACCACCTTCCAGGACCACCTCCTCATGGACCACCTCCCTGACCACCATCACCACCACTACCACTGGATCACCCACCTTGGGACCACCTCCTATGGACCACCTTCCTGTGGACCACCTCTCATGGACCACCCCTGGACCACCTCCTATGGACCACCTTCCAGGGACCACCTCATGTGGACCACCCCCCATGGACCACCTCCTATGGACCACCTTCCAGGGACCACTCCCTGACCACTTCCTATGGACCACCTTCCAGGACCACCTCATGGACCACTCTGGACCACCACCACCACTACCACTGGATCACCCACCTGACCACCTCCATGGACCACCTTCCAGGACCACCTCCCCTGGACCACTTCCTATGGACCACCTTCCAGGGACCACCTCTCATGGACCACCTCCCCTGGACCACCATCACCACCACTACCACTGGATCACCCACCTTCTACCACCCTAATTTTGTTACTCTTGAGAGTCTGCCTACCTGACCCCTCAAGGTACTGCTGTTGGTTATACACGTTGGTTCTTCCCTGAGAAAAGTATTGAATGTTGCAGCTTTAGGGTTTTGGTATTTTTGAGAAATTAATATTATCTTTTTTTACTTTCTACTCTCTTTATCTCTATTTCTCACTTGTTTTCTTCTGCTTGTCTTTATTATCCTCTTCTTCTCTTTTGTTTATCTCTTTATTTCCTTCTTCTTTTTTCTGGTTATCTCTTTATTATCCTCTTCTGCTCTTCTGGTTAACACTCTATTCCATTCCTCTTCTCTTTCTCTTTATTCTACTCTTCTTCTCTTTATTTCTTTATACTCCTCTTCTCTTTATCTCCTTATTCTACTCTTCTCTTTATCTCTTTATACTCCTCTTCTCTTTATCTCTTTATTCTACTCTTCTTCTCTTTATCTCTTTATTCTACTCTTCTCTTTATCTCCTTATTCTACTCTTCTCTTTATCTCTTTATACTCCTCTTCTCTTTATCTCTTTATACTCCTCTTCTCTTTATTCTACTCTTCTTCTCTTTATCTCTTTATACTCCGCTTCTCTTTATCTCTTTATTCTACTCTTCTTCTCTTTATCTCTTTATACTCCTCTTCTCTTTATCTCTTTATTCTACTCTTCTTCTCTTTATGTCTTTATATTCCTCTTCTTCTCTTTATTTCTTTATACTCCTCTTCTTCTCTTTATCTCTTTGTACCCCTCTTCTCTTTATCTCTCTATACCCAGAAAGATAAAAGAAGGCATGAAGGTAAAGATGATTTTTTTTTTACTTCAACAAGAGAGTAAACTTCCTGAGCTCAGTATTGTCCTCAACAAAAGCCCTCGACCTTCGTTAGAGAGAATTTGGGCAATTTTCTGCGGTGTTATACAATTAACGAATCTTTACCTATACGAGGATCCTAAAAAAAAAAAAAGTCGTTTTGTTTACATGGCAGCAGATAACAAGGAGGGTTATTGGCTTCAAACTTTTGTAGGACCTTGTTGAGAGAGAGAGAGAGAGAGAGAGAGAGAGAGAGAGAGAGAGAGAGAGAGAGAGAGAGAGAGAGAGAGAGACTCAAGATGAAAAAATATTTGAAGGTCCTTAGTTGTTGAGTCACCTAAATAAATTATGAAAACAATAGCACGAGACTAGATATATAATATGTAGACAAACGTTGATACATATTACGCTATTTAATTTTTCGTTTTTATACTACTGAAAAAAATAGTTTATTCACCACCCTTAATAGCTTACTCTACTCTTTAGCTGTCATATCGCCGAAAAAAGTCACGTACAGTATTTAGAAGAATTTTATTTTTTTACAGTAGAGAAATGAGATATATTAATTAAACATATATAATTTATGTAGTAATTAGTTATACAAACACAAATCAACATACGTGATAGATGTAATTTAATTTATTTTTTCTGTAATGCTGAAAATATTCTATAAAACCTGGTTGCAAGGGGGAGACATAACTGATTCCTTATAACCTAATGTAAATTTCTGCTTTTATCATCATACCATTATACACAACATACATATTAAGCAACATATCATACAGACTATACAGTATACATCATACTTGCTACACAGTGAAGAAAAAATATTAAAAAGTGTGTAACTACATTTCGCTTTACAATCCTTTATGAACTCGTAGGATTCATTTAGTTATTAGAAAAGTTATAAAAAGGGGAGAGCAAAATCCAAGGTTTCCCTCCGTGACTAATGGGTTCTGATCCCCTAGCCTACTTGCAATATGGGCTCTGATCCCCAATCCCACCTTCGATAAAGGATCAGATTCCCTTCTATCTCCTTGCAATATGGATTGGATCCCCTACACCAAGTTAAGTATGGGATTTCATTTTCAACCTTTCCTCAGTGTAGAGTGAAATGCTTTACTTTTTCTCTGTGAAAATATCCAGGTTTGGGAATATTGTTTCTGTAGAGAGACAAGACTCGTCAACTCCGAAGGTAAATATAATATTATATTGATGTTCGTAATGATATCATCTCTTGTGACATATCGAAAATTTGAGGCGTTTAGTTCACGTACAGATGGCGGGCTCCCAGCTTCCTATACTACGGAAATACCTGATGTGGATATAATTTCGTGGTATTTGCATTCGGTATCTCAAAAATGTACACACACACACACACACACACACACACACACACACACACACACACACACACACACACACACACACACACACACACACACGTGAGGCCCCTCTTAACACCATCTGTGAGGGAATTCCTACACCACGTGAGGCCCCTCATAACACCATCTGTGAGGGAATTACTACACCACGTGAGGCCCCGCACAACACTATCTGTGAGGGAATTACTACACCACGTGAGGCCCCGCATAACACCATCTGTGAGGGAATTACTACGCCACGTGAGGCCCCTCATAACACCATCTGTGAGGGAATTACTACACCACGTGGGGCCCCTCATAACACCATCTGTGAGGGAACTACTACACCACGTGAGGTCCCTCCTAACACCATCTGGGAGGGAGTTACTACACTACGTGTTTGCTGTTCAACACCTACATTAATCTGTATGTTCACTGTATGTTCCTTCACCTTTCTCTAATGAAGGCTTTTGTTAAACCACCAATGTATGTAATAAGTCATTTATGCCCATTGTATATTTTCAGCCTTCGGGCTGCAGAACTTTTTCAATAAACCGTTAATTATTATTATTATTATTATTATTACACACGCACGCGCGCGCGCGAATGCTTGTTTTTTTTCTTTTTTAGTTGCCCCACGTCTAACGAGGATGGCCGGCTCGAGGACCATCAAGGCGTGAATTTGTTATAAGGTGTAGAAGCTATCGCCAACACAACAACCACACCTTGAGTTAACGAGCTCCATGACCCAGCTTGTATTACTACAACACCAACATTGTCCTCACATCAACATGTGAGGACAATGTTGCTGTGGTAATATAAACATTCACGCGATCGCCAAGAAAATCTGTCAGGCAGTTTGTATACATTTCTTTAAAACATTTTATATAATATTTTCGGGGCAGGTAAGCATAACACCACTGCAGAAGAGATTCATTAATACAAAAATATTTAGATAAATAATTAAAAAAAAATGAAAAATTCAAGTATTTACTAAACTTCCCTCCGGTGGACATCTTCCTGGTGCATCATCCCTGTTAATATCTTCAAGTTAGTGATTCAATCGGTTGGATGTTGACGATTGATCGAGGTTTCAACCTCACCGACTAAGGCAAATATTTCATGGTATTGAAGTTATATCTAAAGGAGTTTCAACAAAGAGCCAACGACCCCTTTCGCCCCTTTACATTTATTGACCAAATTAGCGTCACCAGACAAATTATTTAGGAGAGGTATAAAATATTAAACATATCCTGGAAAGACATCTCTACAAACTCCTCCAAATATCATCCCACTTAAGACGTGTCCCCTGACCAGATCTGACCCCTCATGATAGGCAGGCAGCTCGAGTGTGACGTCATACTCAAACTTGGTAAAGTATGTGGATAAATTCTTCGTAGGAACTTAGCTGGAATCTCTTATTTGATTCCTGGGGTAATTTATAACAGATTGCCAGGCGTTAGAGAGGGAGAATAAGGAAAGAGGGAGATTAAGGAATTAGAGAGAGTAATGGAAGAGGGAGAGTAAGGGAAGCGGAAAAAAGAGAGATTAACTCGAGAGAAATCAAGCTTGGAAGGAAAAGCAAAACAGAGAGAAAGAGAGAGAGAGAGTAGTGTGGGAGAGGAAACTCCCTGCCTAGGGTAACAGTGAGGTGGCCAACAAGTACCTTAGCGGCCACTCCCCGTAAAACGATTTTCAGATACCAGGATAGAGAGAGCGTCTTGGAGGGCAGTGATGGCGGCGGATAAAGTGGAAAGTTTTTCTACGGGGCGTTACGAGTGTCTGGAGGAGAAAGGAGTCGGATGAAATCACATGAAAGTGTTTCTAATGGAGAAATAGACTTTAAATTTAGAATAAGAAAAAAAAACATAGGAATAAAATATAAGGAAATTGGAAGCAATGAGAGGTGTTTATGAATAGCACACGTGAAGATTGGATGAAAAAAATCGGATCACCTGAAATATCTGCCTCCCAAATTATTTTACTTAAAGGTTAACCACCCTAATACTATTTGGGGGTTAGGTTAGGTTAGGGTGGTT